CTGGTTACTTAAAGTTAGCGAGTAACATAATTGTTTCGCCCTTGAGAAAAAGCTGAAGTGTCAGCGAGTCGCCAGACGAAACAACCAGGGTCGGTGAATCCTGGACCAGATCAGCGTACACCTATGCACTAGGTTATGCAAATAACTGTCCCAATTATTTTCTACTCTGTTATTATTTATTATTTCTACAGATATGCCCGACCCATTTAACCCCTATTACCAAATGTCCCGTACTACCGAATGCTGGGGGCCTTCGCCAGCTATAGTGCGCCCGAAACCAGACCGTTACCAAAAACTGCAAACTTATTCAAACATCGTACCGCAGCAACTGTCCAATGTTAAATTTCTCCTCCAAGAAACTACGCAAGCGCTACAACAAATTAACATAATGATAGATAGGGGACCAGGTAACGAATAAGACCAGGGTTAAAAGCACGAATACGCCTACAGTTTAACTTGCAAAAGCCTGTGCAAAGAGAGGGAGAAGGCAGACGGGAATGACCATTTCTGGCTTATTGGTCATAATGGGTTTCTCGTACTTGTACTTGTTACGGCTGTGATGATGCCTGATCTAGCCGGCCTCAATGACGGACGGTACCCCTCCATGCATGGTGATTGGCAGCAGCGGATCCGGAAAGCTCCACCCAGTCTTTTCTCCAGCGACGGAGACCAAAGCCAGAATGTCCAAGAACCGCTTCCATGTCTTGACGGACGGTGTCCAGCCAAGTCTTCAGTTGCCCTCCTTTTCGATGCCTCAAGGTGGGCTGCGGTGCCGGTTCGAGGGCAACATATCTAGGTTCGTGGGGCGGAAGACGGAGAACGTGTCCAAACCATCTTAGTCGCCTTTCTGGGGAAATCATACCTTACCGCAGTCGTCAGCACGTGAGACTTGAACAGAGGATTTTTGGTCATTATGACCGACTCTAATATTAAGCTATGAGCTACTCACAGGCAGACGCATAGCGACAAAACGCATAAGGTGATAAGCGACTTACGCTAAAACGCCAAAACAATATCAGCTTAAGGCCTAGACACGTGTTTAGCCTATGTCTAAAACAAATGGCAGAGGTTTGGGTTTGTCAGTATGTGTCTGGCGTTTTGTATGCGGTTTCAGACAGAAAAAATCTTGCTAATAATTTCGTTAACGATTACT